TATAATCTTAAAGATCAGAAGATGGGAGAGGAAAAGAAAAGAAAAGAAAAAGGGGTGGGGGAGAGAGATGGAGAGGTGGGACTAAAACTGAAGGGCATTTACAAAAGGGCCGCTGTGTAATTAAGAAAATTTGACAAAATTAATATCGACGACAGGTTACAAATCAAATATAAAAATTTAAAAAACAAACAAAAACAAAACAAAACAAATATAACGACTGACTAATCTAGCAAGGACCTATATTTCTATCTTCAAAAACACATGCGTATGCACACATACACAACAACATATTTATATTTACACGTACATTGAGTTCTACCTGGATTCTATCCTCTTGGAATTATTTTTTATACAAATATATATGTATGTGTATGTGTATGTATATATATTTATATATTTTAGATATATGATTTATATATGTTTATATATATTATATATATATATATATATATATATATATATATATATATATATATATATATATATATATATATATATATATAACTGCGTGTGCAGGCCCGCAGTGATGGTAGCAGCTCATATTACACCACTTGTCGACTAGTTCACCAGGTACAGAACATGACCTTTCATAGGTGTACAGATGACCTGATGGTGTGTGACGCAGGTTTTAAATTGGGAGAACAACTTTTTTCAAGGGAATGAAGAGTTTGTTTTTGCTGTTGGAAAATCTGTGCTTTGTTCACTTTAGCAAGAAATCCAAAGGACAACGCAGGCTTCTGATCATCAATGATTTTCGCTGATTTTAAGAGCTGCCTTGTCTATCTACGTCGCGGAGTGTCCGGCCTAAATTTATTTTCTTTCAGCAAGAATCAGCGTATAAAAATTGTTTGAAACAATCTGTTTATGTCACCAGCGACAGCACGACGTTTTTATTTAAAACTAGACTATCCGTGACCCGTTGGGTCACTGTTGGTTCAGATTATAAAACGTTGAACATTACATTTGTTTGAAGAAAGTTGAAATAAAAATACTTCCTTTATAAACAAGACGCATTTTTAAATCTTATTCACTTCAAATATTTCTTAAATCAGATAAACTTAATATGCCAAAAAATATTTTAAATCATATTCACTTGTAAATATTTTTTTAAATATGCAAAAAAAAAAAATTTTTTTTACATAATTAAAATATTGTTTGTTTAATGAAATCTGAAATATAAATAATACTTCTACAAACATCTGGACGAAACAGCAATGCGGGATTTCTTTGTGTATGTTTTTAACTTAAAAATATTCTAATTAAAAAAAAATGTCTATTTGAAGAAAGTTAAAATAAAAATACTTACTGTATAAAAAACTCGTATTTTTAAATCCTATTCCCTTAAAATATTTTTTTTTTAAATTAGTTAACTTGAAAATATTCTACTTAACTTAAAATATTTAAAATATTTAAAATATTGTTGTTTAAAGAAAGTTGAAATATAAAAAATTATCTACAAACAAGTGGTCAGAACAGCAAAGCGAGATCTCTTTGCGTCTGGCTTTAGCTTCAAAATATTTTACTAAAATAAAGTGTCTGTTTGAAGAAAGTTAAAATAAAAATACTTACTGTATAAAGGACTCATTTTTTTAAAATCTTATTCGCTTAAACCAGATTAAGTTAAATCTTTATCCGCCGGGCGGTCGCACCACACACGCAGTTACAGATTTTTATATTATATAAATAAACAAATCCATTACAACTTAAATTCAGCATAATGATGTGTATACTGTATATATTAACAAAATAATGTTTATATTAACACAGTAAATACTCAAAACGTGTATAGAACATATTTTACTATAGAAATACATTGTAAGAATTTTGTTTCTGTCTATATTGTCCTCATCTTTGTCGCCATATTTTTACAACGTTTCGGTCCTTCAGTATCTGTCTATATTTCTGAGATGAGGTATTATGTACACTATTTAAATTAGTCTGACTATTGTCCTCATCTTTGTCGCCATATTTTTTACAACGTTTCGGCCTTTCAGTATCTGTCTATATTTCTGAGATGAGGTATTATGTACACTATTTAAATTATTCTGACTATTGTCCTCATCTTTGTCGCCATATTTTTTACAACGTTTCGGCCCTTCAGTATATGTCTATATTTCTGAAATGAGGTATTATGTACACTATTTAAATTATTCGGACTATTGTCCTCATCTTTGTCGCCATATTTATTACAAAGTTTCGGCCCTTCAGTATCTGTCTATATTTCTGAGATGAGGTATTATGTACACTATTTACATTATTCGGACTATTGTCCTCATCTCTGTCGCCATATATGTACTGCTTAATAATAAACGCGGCGTCTACTCAAATACGAGTATCCACTAAAAATAACGTTTAATATATATATATATATATATATATATATATATATATATATATATATATATATATATATATTAAACACAGAAAGAACCGTAAAACATTTTTTGATTATAATACGTAACTTTTATATACTTTATTCTGTATATTTCGTTTCTTGAGACCTTCCTCGGGAGAATAATTGTTATTTCCACATATTATTTAAAGGAATTAATTTTTCTTCCTATGTTAAATCTTTTAACCATTGTCTTTTGTGTGTAGGAATAATTATCTGAATCCATCTTGGACTGCTCGAAACATGTTCCTCTGTTTGAGGGGTAATAAAACTTGGTCAGAAAAAGGAAAAAGTAAGGAGGATGTCTTTGTTTTTATCTTTTTATGTCACCTTATATCATTTCGTTGTGTCTTACTTCCTGTAGTCTAGCGTATTGTGTATGTATGAGTTTGTTGCCAGTATGTGTATATATATTATTTCTCCATACATATATATATATATATATATATATATATATATATATATATATATATATATATATATATATATATATACAGTAATATTACAGGAAGCCTATATATTATCAAAGCGTCGTATGGTTTTCAGGTACTTTCCAAAGGTACCCCACGCTGTGGTCGCTTCTTTCAGACCGATAACATCATGAAGTTACCTTCCTGATAAATCGACTGTGGTGAGATTCGAAAATGTTGGATTACTGGATGTTTCCACAACTCTCCTGATATATGTGAAAAAATTTCTTAATCATGGGTCGTCAGAGTGTGTTTGGATGAAGAATGACTCTACCGATGTCCTCTGATTTGGACAGCACGTTTCCCTGTTATCACATATCTCCCCGCCCCCTTAATTGGCCATATTAAGAAAGTGGTTCGCAAGAGAACATCCGAAACGCTTCAGGATTTAAAGAATTTTATTGCAGACTCTATAACACTTGAAATGTTTCAAAAATGCTATCTAGAAGTTCCAGACTGCAGACTTGCATTAAAAATGCTGGATAATATATTATAACAAATCTATATATCAGACTACTCGCTACTGTTAAGGGTCGGAAGGCGGCATGGTTTGGTTACATCATGACGTTATCTGCAAGACCATCGTGCAAGGCAATGTTGAAGGCGAGCGCAAGTGGAAACGGGAACGGATGATCTGGTCAGACAACATCAAAGAGGGGGACGAACATGAGAATACAGGAACTTCTGAGGGCCACTACCAACAGCACATCCTGGAGGAGTTTGTCTGCTTCATCTGCCCTTAGGTCCCGCCGGTGATTGAAACAGTCGAGAAACTGATGATGATGATGATGATGATGATGATGATGATGATGATGATGACTGATTTTGGTGTCAAGCTTCATCTACTACTTATGCATCAATAAATACATTATTGGTCTGAAGAAGTCCTTTCGAAAGACGAAACACGTCACGCAGGAATTTTTTTTTTTTTTTTTTT